CATCAGACCTTTTATAGGCACTTCTCAGATTTTTTTGCATTGCAACATCGTTATATTTCTACGTATAAATGGTGAACATCCATCCATTTTCCGTCATGCTTATCCCAAGCATAGTTGCAAAGGGTGCTGGTGCCTACCTCCAGCTGTTGCCAGTCTGTCGCAGGGAACATGTTAAAACAAAATGCTAATATTCAGACCAAAAAATTATTTTATAGTGTCCTAACTTTGCTACTTTGCTACCCACATCAATAACCGCATTAAAAGTAAAATGAAGTGAAATACATAATGACCCTACAATAACACTTCCCTAACATAATAAAGTGAAATAGATATGATAAGATACAAAGCAAGCTTTTAATTTTAAAAGGATAAAATCAAGGAAATGTTAACAAAATAAATAAAATTGTTCAGCTATAAGAATATAAGAAGATAAGATTACTATTAGAGGAAGGGATACAGCACATAGCTCATTTTTCTATGCCAAATCGAAAAAAACAGTTCAACCTGGAGAGACTCACATAGAGAAAAGCTGAAAAGAAAAAGAAAAAAGGAAAATATTATATTTATTTATAAAGATAAAAAAATCAGCTTTTCGGGAGGACTCGTTGACTCTCTTGAATCCTTCACACTGAGCATGCTTGTAGCGACAGTGGAGAGGAAAACTCCCTTTAAACTGGAAGAAACTTCTAGCAGAACCAGTGTAAGCGGCCATCTACCGAGGCCAGTTGGGTTTGAGGAGACAGAAGCAGATAAAGACATAAACAACATAAGTTATTTTGCGCTCTGGCTCTGGCAGAAGACTGATGCTGAGAATCAAGGTATGCTTGAATAAGCGGCCCCGAAGTTAATTGGCTGGAGATGAACGATGGATTTTGCAGGTGGTTCAGGTGAAGCTGATACATTTTCCAGATTTTATTTACTCTTAAGCTTAATTTGATTTAAAAAAAACACCAGCATAGCTCTTTGGTTAGCAGTAATGTCCGTCAACCTGTTGATGTTCAGACTCCATGGAAACCGACTCATGTAAAAATTTGGGGGGAGGGCTTCCAGTAAATTTTACACAAAAAACAAACAAACAAAACATCACAATTAAAAAACTGGGGCTGAGCGCCAACCTTAGCTTAACTCCATCAGGCTAGAAAAGTTTGTCACAAAGTTTATTTAAAGTTCAAGAATCCCAATAGAACTTTAAGGCATCTGAATGATGTTGGATTTTACATAATAACCTGATTTGTACTTGTCTTTTTGATAAACATTGAAAATACCCTACAATAAATGCAAGGTACAACCAGGGATGTAAGATGAACAGTCTCAAAGCTAAATTTAACTCTCCCTATCTGTCCCTGCTTTTCCCCTCCAGTGAACACAGAAATCAACTGTAGATGTTGCTATGAAAAGCAAAGGCTTCGTCTGGTAAAAATTTAAACCTGCAACCTATAATTTATCCAACCATCGTAATCAAAATAATTCCACTTGATGAGAAGTTGTAAAAGGTGAGGTAAGACAGAAAAATAAACCTACCATGAATGACGCGTTCTAGTAGTTTTTTGTTTTTTTTGTATTTAAAATCTATACAGCTACTGCTGTTCGGTGTATTAATACGAATAAACATCCATCCATTGTTGATACCTTATCCATTGCGGGTTAGGCAGAGTTGATATTGGGTTGCGCGTCTAGTATATATGTTTTCTTCTTTTTGTCTTTGATGCTTGGATAAGCATCCACCTGTTAGACCATTGGGCAAAAAAAAAAAACACCCAAAGCCTAATAGAACTGCATAATTCAACTGGTAATGCTTGTGTGCTTCTTTTGAAGTTGTTCAAGTCAATTAAAATCAACAAGCACTCATTAAAAGTCGTTTTTTTTTTTTGGTTCAAGGAAGTGTTGATGAGATAATTTGCTCAGAATCTACACCAAGATGGCTCGCTTTATGGCGCAGCATGAAAAGCTGGGATCAGGTTCGGCCGAACAGCCATGAATAGGCGTATGTGGAAGACAGGGGGTGTCTCTCAGTACGAAGCTGGCGACCGGCTGTGGCCACAGAACAATGCCGTAACACATGCGTGCACTGGGTGACTGCCTTGCTCGCACACACACATTGTTTTTTTTTGCCAACGGGCAGTTTGTGTCTCATACAGAAGGGCTCTCTTTCCTTTGTCTTTTTTTTTTTATAACTTCACGTCCAGTTTTCATGTTCTCACACAAACACACGCCGCTGGACATACTTTGAAGACGTGCAAGAGTGCACGAAAGAGGATGGAAGTAGCAGGAGGGGAAAAAAGTTTGTCCAACTCCGTTAGCCAGAGAGGTCACAAGAACAACACCCAGTCCCGGAGCGTTCCCATGGAGACAAGTATGGCAGCGCACAAAGACGCTGAGATAGAGTGATGAAAGAGAGGGAGAGAGGGAAAGGCCATGGAGGGGAGGGCGGTTGGTTTGTTGGCGTCAAGGTTCACTTGGTGTGCTTGTGTGAGCGTTGGAGCTAGAGGGAGGGGGGGGCGGTGTAGACCGGGCGGTCACCACTCAGAGGGACAGCGGGAAGTATGATGGTCATGTAGCAAAACAGGACTCAGACTTTCTTCCACTGGAACGGGACTTTTCATCCTCCTCCTGTCAGGGCAGAAACAAAATGTAACCCTCCAGGGGTTGAGGGGCTCATACTGGATTCAAGGCAGTACCCTCTACATACGAATTAGAGACGATCAATGGTTTTAAGAGCCCAGATGATGTGTTTGAGTAGCAGCGTTGGAAAAAATACCCAAACTAATGGTATCCCTGTAGTTCCAGTCTGGCCCCAGGTAACTTTAAAAGCATTTAATTGGCCAGCTTTGTCTCTGGCAACACTTGAACCCTTTTAGCCGGGGGCATGGACTGTCAATGAGCGCCCTCAGTTTCTGTTCACATAGGTCCAACTTTTCCCCTGTCTCTCTTTGAAATGGGAATTCCACTGATTTTACACTTCAAAACCAGCTGCCCCAGATACCGCTACTAATGCTTTGATAGAGATGTAAAATATGTTGTGGGAGCGGGCTTCTAAAGCCTTTGAAAACATAACGTTCAGCTCTCTGTTGGGATGCATGACTGCAAAATAGCACATGTGTTGAGGAAAGACATGAGCCTGAAGCCTGTTTGACCCCAATTCTGCAACCTGGGCTAGTTTCTCCCTCTGATGGATTGAACGTAATTTGAAAATTTTTTCACTGTAACCTGCCAGTAGGTTAGGGCAATCATTGCAAAGCAACAATTTAATCTGATACAACTGCTGGTCTTCTGACCAATAAAGATGATGGTCCTTATCGTTTATTATGCTGTATCACTGTAAGGTGGAAGAAAAATCATACAAATGTTGGAAAACCTGCTACAAATAAGAACCTTAATTGGGTGTTGTGCGCTTGTGTTCATTTGCCTTTATTCTGAAACCTCTAACTACAACTAGAACTACCATTTGCCCCTTAATTAGTAAGTCGGGTGTGCGGTTTAATCTCAGTATAAACCCATCTGTTCTTTGAAAGTCATTCGGACCAAGGGACACAGCAGAGAGGTATAGATAACGATGAGTAGCACTTTAAAGCAGGGTTCAAGCAATACACCAAACCCCTTATTTTAAAGCATATCTAAAAATGTAGACTGTAACGCAAAGACCAACCCATTCAGACAAGTTCAGTTACTTAACCTTAACGCCAATGAGAGCAATAATCAGAGATTGTTTTTAACTGTAGTCTGTCTGAACACCTGTCGATTTCTGTGGCAGAAAGGAATTGTCCTCAGTCAGTCAAAGATCACCAGATTTACCCGAAATAAACATTTTGTCAGATTCCGACAGATCTGCTGCCGTTCAAACCGTCAACCCCTGTTCTGGGACTGTGAGAAGTGTTCATCTAAAACATCCTTACTTGCAGTTTCACACCATCTTTAGGGCGGTCAGCCCCTCCCATTTTCTGACTGACTTCTCAATGGTTGTCCCATGACTTCATTGCATTCTAAACATCTAAAGCGTTTGTGTTTTCGACTATCCTGAAGTCTTTGGAGTTACCTTTTAAGGTGTTTGACCCCCATCCCAGCAGGGTATAGAGTCAGGATGTCGTTGTGACATCGATTTCCACCTTCCTATTGTAACGTGACGGTAATAGGTACCCTAAAGTTGATTGAAACCCATCGCTAGACAGCAGTGGCGGCCCTGTATCACCTCCATTTTCCCCTCAACTTTACTGGCTTCAGCTCTCTCTCCCACCATGTGACTGCGGGCCAGTTTGCGCTCTCCCACTGTCTCACTTCCCCGCTGTCCCTCCAGCTCACTCCTCTCTCACTCCCCTCTCCGTCCTCCCGTCCCTCCATCCGTCCGTCCTTGGTGCCCAGGTTTTTTAGAGTTGGCGTGGTTCCTGTTTGTTTTCAGCCATTTTGGGGACTTGCAGTGCTCGTAGCAAACTGCTTAAATGGCGTCCTCTTGCTTGCTTGCTCTCCCACTCTGTCTGCCTCTCCCTCCCTCTCCCTATCCCTGGGCTTTGTGTATATAAAGTATCTGTGTGTGTGTGTGTGTCTTGGAGAGAGTGAACAACACTTCCAAATAAAAAGATTGGATTCAGAGGAGGTGGGGAGACAGTTGAGGGTGTTTATATGGGTTGAGGATTCACTTGATATTTTCTTTTTAGAAAAATAGAGCAAAACCAGTAAGAACTCCTCTTTTTAAGGAGTCGAGAACTGGTGTGAGAGAAGAAAAAAGACCAAAAAAAAGCAAAAATGGGAGTGAGTGAAGGAGAGCAAGCAAGTTCGAGTGTGAGAATCACACACTGCTGCCTGTATGTGTGTGCACACCGCCTCTCCCTCTCTCTCAAACACGCACACAGTGAGCGGGCGTGCGCACTAACAGTCCAAGGGGGGAGAGAGAGGGAGAGAGAGTGTAAGGGAGAGAACACATCGCAGCAAAAATGCAGCAGGAGGTTTTCCGAGGTAGGTTCTCCTCTATGCTCGCCTTCCTGAGAGACAGACATGGAGAATAAGAGGAGGAGAGGCTGAAATTGCTTGTTTTCCTGGTTGTTTGTTTATATATATATTTTTTTTGTTTTGTTTTTTATTATCTTTTTTTCTGCTTCACTCCACCGCTGCTGTTCTGGTGGCTCTGCTCCGTGCATGAAGAAGAGGAAAAAGGTTTTTAATTTACTCGTGCGTGTCTATGCAGTGTGTGTGTGTGTTGGAGCGTGTATGTGCGTCTCTGCTGGCTCCGTCCGTGGGTTTGTGCGTGCGTAATGCCAGTAACAGGCCTCGTCTCCGTCATCCTCCCCTGCTGACGCACCACGCAGCTCTTTTTCAAGGCTCCTTTTCAGACTGCGATGAAACTTTTAATTTGTCGAAATCCTCTCGTGCGTTTGTGTTTCACCAAAGGTGGGAGAGGAGGAGTGGGTGGGGTTGTGTGGGGGGGTCTGTGGGGTGTAAACACCAGAGGAGGCATTAAATATGATGGCAGGTTTTAAAAAGCAGATTCCCACCTCTGTCTGGAAGCATCATGTGAAGTTATATGTGAAATAGAGATAACCGTAGCCGCTAAGCCGACTGGGTCCGGTTCTGTCCTCCATTTTGACCAGCCTCGTGTTTTCCGCTGGTTTGTTTTCTCTTGCATGGAGCAGCAGAGGGCACATTGATGTCCCTGCTGCAGCCCAGACCCTCCTTTTCCAAAACAACACAGCATCTGCTGCCAGCTTCTCCACATTCCAGGTTTCCATGGATGCCAAGTCAAGCCTCAGTGCTCAACCTATGGAAAATGTGATGCACGCTGCTGCAGAGCGTGGAGGGTCACAGGTCAGCCAATAGGGAGAGTTGTTTCTAACTTTTTTTGAAGTTTCAAAACAGCCCTTTTAGAAAGATTATTAATTTGAGAGCGATGTAGACACCTGTCTTACAGCTGCTAAAAAAAATGCCCTTGATGCAGTTTTGACCAGCTTTAAAAGTTTTTCTTATTAAATACGATGTGCAATGTTCAGGAAGCTGCAGCAGCGCTTTGCTTTGCTTTACTTTCCTGCATTTCCTGGCGATCACTGCAACCATAAGCTTTGCTAAGTCTGAAAATCCACGGTGTATATCAGTTTTTCCCCCCCGATGATATAATTTTTCCATTTCCTGTGAGGTTCAAGCTTCTTATCCCTTCTTGAGCTGTTTCTGATTTTACTCCTAAGAAATATCACATAAAAGAGATGAAATGTGTCACTACTTCCTTGATAGAGTTGAGTAAATTACAAAAGTATTCACATTTATGCATCAAAGCATACAGAGAAGCACAACTTTATTCCTCCACTTTGCAGATTGATGTTAAAATGAATCCCTTAGTTTTGGAGTTTCAATTAACGTGATGGAGCAGACTAAAGATTAGGGTGATGGCAAGGAGGGCTCCACTATAAAAAGGAAGTAAAAGTATTAAAGACAACATGTTTGATCTCCATTAGGATCACTGAGAAAGATAGAAATCCTTTGAATTAATGAAAAAAAGCCTTTTTTGTTGATAATTGCAGTTTTATGTCTAAATTGATCCCCCCTTTTCATTACCTTGTCATCTAAAATGTCCCTGCATAAATACAGGTCTTAAGCTTCATCTGACTTTTAATAAACTAAAAAAAGCAGCATAAAGGTCGGTTTAGTTTAGTTTCATTTTTAATCCTTACTGTTACTTGTTCTAAGTTTTGAAAAAAAAAAAAAGCGTTTTTTGTTTTTTTTTGTGTGTGTGTGTATTTTATTTTTTTTTCCGTTTTTTTTTTTAGAACAGGCATAATAGTTCCAGTTCTTGGTGATTACAACTCAATACACACAGAATAACAAAATGTGTTTCAGGACTTTTTATATAAGTAAATGTTTTAAATCCAATAAAAAAGTGAAGGAATTGAAGGATTTCTTTAGTACTTACGCATTAAGGCAAAATTAAACTTTTCCTAATATCTTAATTAAATGAAACCTTCAAAGTTCAGATGAGGTCACAAAGCTGGTAAAAGCATTTATATTCTCAGAATTAAGTGAGAGCTAGTTAGGAATAATTAAATCCATAGAAAAACAAACAGCTTACCAGTTCACAAATCATAGTCGACCAAGGATAAATTCATTGGAGCATCTCTGCTGAGGCATATCTCTGTTGTTTTAAAATTCAGACTCCCACAGGGACTTCACACCACTTTCTGGAGACTGAACGTGTGAAAATGTTCTAGAAAGAAAGTGCCTTAAATAGGTCCCAGGTGTTGCGCCACTTTTAATGGGAGTGGTTCCATCTTTCGCCTGTAGAGTGCCCCAAACGCCTCCCAAAATTGAGTTGCGGTGAGATCAAATATGAGGATTTTCATGGGAGCTAGCGGAGCTCGGTGCGTTCACTTCTAAATACGCGGTCATGTGTGATGGTAAGTGAAGTGAGGGCATGGCTGATTATGCTGAGGACTGTGAAAGTTGAGGAAATCAAGCATTTTGAAGATGAGATGGACGTGTTTTCGGCGTCACCCCAACGAGTCATGCTTCCTCAATCATTGCATCCACTCCATGAGCCACATCAACTTCCCCTTACCTCCTCCCTGCTCTCTGCCCCATCTGGCTGGCTCCACCACGCACCCTTGGCCGGGGGTTGCGCAGAGTTCAGTGGCTGTTGCGGCTAACAATGTGCCCCCCCCACCCCCTCGTCTCACACACCAACTGCTGCCTCGATTGTTGAGTCCTTCTGGCTGCTCTATCCAGCTCCTCCCTTGACCATAACGCCACTCACCAAAAAACACAGAGGCCCTCCCCAACTGGCACATTCAAGACACTCTCCTTAACACCTCACACACTCCAGATGACACCGTCATACGTTTCATCCATTATAAAATTTAACTCTTCAAAAATCTTAAAGCAGAAATAACCGTGAAAACAAGGTTGAAAAGAAAGACATACTCTGACCTGCTGCAGCGTTTCCCTGCAGCTTTCTCTACCCAGACAGACACTTACTGACATTTCAGGTGTGTTCACAGTTTGGCTGTTGTCAAAAGAATCAAGCTCAGATACCGTCTGAAGTTGTATTTCTTTCCATATTCAGCTCACAGCAGGTGATTGTTTGTGTCAGACGTGTTCTCATTACTGGAAACTTTCAGTCTGGTTTAGACAAGGATGTTACCTGGTTTAGAGGGTTCAGGATGAAAGGGCGCAATCCCAACATGCTGGCTTTCATTTCTTTAGTCAACTGCCTTGATCTCACATAACCTAAAATGCTCATCAGTCGGCTGGATAAAAGTAAAATTCGGTGTCCGAACAGAGACCTCCAACAAGCAGTTTAGCGAGGTCATTATTTAGTAGACCTTAGTCAGTCTGCAGGTGAAAAGATGGACACTTTAAAACTACATGAGATCTAGCTGTAATGCAAAGCGGTGAGAAATTACCGGTAGACTTTAGACAAATAAGTACTTCTATGATTGTGGCATTAATAAGGATTGGATGCAGCTATAAATAGTGTTTACCACATGACAGTCTTCTAAACCAGGGTCAGTCTCTTTTTTTGGCTCTATCACTTTAATAAGCTTAGTTTTGAAGAGGTGGGGTTAGGGTTTTACGTACTTAAATTTGGAAAACAGCTTGAACTGAAGTAAATAGAAAAAAATTCTGTTTTATTTCTGTTCTGCAGTCTCAAATTGGATAAGAAAAAACAAAACAGGTTTAGATGTATGTGATCCGTTTCACACCTGATAGAGTGCTTTAAATGAGCCAGTGCCTGGATGGTCTTTGCAAGCTCTTGAAGAGGTCTTCTGGTGCAAATTAGGAGTGTAGTGGGTTCCCCTCAAGAGTGATAAAGTGTGTTAGAGTTCCCTGTCTGTTTTAAGTGTACATAGAAGTCCCATAAGGAGACCATGGTTGTTTGTTTATTATCGTAGTAGTAACATATGCTGGGGTCTTGAATGAAGCATAACCAACAGCAGTGCCAGTGTATCCATTCAAAAGGGCCCGATGGTGTGAGCTGTACCTCACAGAGTTTACAGGAGGACCACTCCTGCTAACCAACATTGTAGGTTAGTGTGTTGCTCTGCGTTCCGGATGGCCTCTCCTTACTCCTATTGCTGGAAGCAAAAGGGTATACGTAAAAAGTTGCTATAAACAATCCATTAACCACATATACCCATGAATAAACTGTCACAATAAAGTCACTTTCACATAAAAAAATCGTATGCACTTCCTACTGGAGTAGATCTTCCAGCTTTAGAGAAGCACCCACACCTCCAAATTGTACCCAAGCTTAACTGTGATTGTTTCTCAGGGACTAAGGGAAGTTCTAGGTTTTCTTACTGCAGTTTAAAGGCAAGTTATACCTGCCAGGCAGATGAAGATAAGGCCCTGTTACTTTTATTAGCATTAAGCAGGAATGAGGACAAAGCATGAACAACATGCTCTTAAGAATAAAAATAATATTTTACAAGAAGTGATTGGCAACTCAAATGCAAGCCTTAATTTCAAGGCCTAGTGAAAACCCACACTGTTGCCAATGCCATGAGATTGAGCTCACTTAAGCCGGGCATACACTGTGCAATTTTTTTAATCGTTGCACGCAGCTACAACTCAAACTGTACGACGAAACAGCAGGGTTTAAAAGTTCACAGCTCACGATGCATGTTCTCACACTGTGCGACTCTGATGCAATCTACCTGCTCATACTGCACAACCAAAAACCACACGTCGGACTCCTCAATCTGGAAGAAGAAGAAGAACTACCTTGTTTGCACATACGCAGTGCTGGAGGTTCTGGTAAATTGGCTCGTAACTCTGCTTCAACGCCAGGATTTGTCAACGAACATTTCACGACGGCCGACTGAATTTCAAACATGTTCGATTTTCCCTAACCTTACGATTCCTGATCGGGAGGTGGTTGTGAGACGCTAATCTGCCCTTGTTACCCCCTGTATACCTCACAACACAGGACGTACAATCAAAATAATTCTAACACGACCGGAGAATTGTCCCGAAAAGGGCAAGAAAATCATACTGTGTATGCCCGGCTTACGGTTTCCTCGCAGAATTTGACCTTGGATTGGGTTATGCTGCAAGATGGCACAGTCAGCAGAGCACTGTGCTCTGGACAGAAAAATGCTCCAGAAGACCTGCATTATCTCATGCTGCTCATTCCGTTTTGTCATCGACAGATAGGCTGAAAGCAAAGAAGCATCCTAGTGCAGGTG